AGAGCTCTTTCAAGGGGTCAAACAAACATGAGGACAGGGGGGATCCAGTGGACATCGTGTACTTGGATTTCCAGAAAGCCTTTGACAAGGTCCCTCACCAAAGGCTCTTACGTAAATTAAGCTGTCATGGGATAAAAGGGAAGATCCTGTTATGGATTGAGAACTGGTTAAAAGACAGGGAACAAAGGGTAGGAATGAATTGTAAATTCTCAGAATGGAGAGGGGTAACTAGTGGTGTTCCCCAAGGGTCAGTCCTAGGACCAATCCTATTTAACTTATTCCTAAATGATCTGGAGAAAGGGGTAAGCAGTGCGGTGGCAAAGTTTGTCGACGAAACTAAACGGCTCAAGATAGTTAAGACCAAAGCAGACTGAAGAAGTTCAAAGAGATCTCACAAAACTAAGTGATTGGGCAACAAAGTGGCAAATGAAATTTAATGTGGATAAATGCAAAGTAATGCACACTGGAAAAAAGTAACCACAACTATACAAAGAATATGATGGGGGCTAATTTAGCTACAACTAATCAGGAAAGAGATCTTGGCGTCACTGTGGATAGTTCTCTGAAGACATCCATGCAGTGTGCAGCGGCAGTCAAAAAAGCAAACAGGATGTTAGGAATCATGAAAAAAGGGGATAGAGAATAAGACCGAGAATATCTTATTGCCCTTATATAAATCCATGGTACACCCAACATCTTGAATACTGCATACAGATGTGGTTTCCTCATCTCAAAAAAGATATACTGGCATTAGAAAAGGTTCAGAGAAGGGAAACTAAAATGACAGAACAAGGAGTAACGGTCTCAAGATGCAGTGGGGGAGGTTTAGGTTGAATATTAGGAAAAATTTTCACTAGGAGGGTAGTGAAGCACTGGAATGGGTTACCTAGGGAGGTGGTGGAATCTCCTTCCTTAGAGGTTTTTAAGGTCAGGCTTGACAAAGCCCTGGCTGGGATGATTTAGTTGGGAATTGGTCCTGCTTTGAGCAGGGGGTTGGACTAGATGACCTCCTGAGATCCCTTCCAACCCTGATATTCTATGATTAGGGGTTTGGAATGGGTCCCATATGAGGAGGGATTAAAGAGGCCAGGACTTTTCAGCTTGGAAAAGAGGAGACTGAGGGGGGATATGATAGAGGTATACAAAATCATGAGTGGTGTGGAGAACGTGAATAAGGAAAAGTTATTTACTTGTTCCCATAATACAAGAACTAGGGGCCACCAAATGAAATTAATGGGCAGCAGGTTTAAAACAAATAAAAGGAAGTTCCTCACATAGCGCAGTCAACCTGTGGAACTCCTTGCCTGAGGAGGTTGTGAAGGCTAGGACTATAACAGGGTTTAAAAGAGAGCTAGATAAATTCATGGATGTTAAGTCCATTAATGGCTATTAGCCAGGATGGGTAGGGAATGGTGTCCCTAGCCTCTGTTTGTCAAAGGGTGGGGATGGATGGCAGGAGAGAGATCACTTGATCACTCCCTCTGGGGCACCTGGCATTGGCCACTGTTGGTAAACAGGATACTGGGCTGGATGGACCTTTGGTCTGACCCAGTATGGCCATTCTTATGTTATGTTCTTATGACTTTACATATAATCTGAGACTGGAGAACCAAAGGGTCAGTTTTACAGGAAGGAATAATTCAGTCAAAAAAGTTGAAAGAAACCAGGTCAGGCCCAACTTTAACTTTTACGTTTAAAAAAAAAATCTCGTCAGTGATTGTATTGAAACAAACTAGCATTTTCAGTTTGCAAAAAGACCAAACATTTATACTAGGTTCCATTGCTATGTAAATGTTTATTCTTAGAAAAGCTCCTGCTCTTTTAACTGTACCCAGTACAATGTAAATGTCAAATACAGCGAAACCCCGCTATACCGCGATGTTTGGGGTCCAAAAAGTAACACCGCGCTAAATGCTGGGTATAGCGGCGTTTCAAGCCCGTCAGTGGTCCCGAAGGCGGTGCATTGATGTGCACAGCCTAGTGCCCAGCAGAGGAGAGAAGCTGCGGCCCCGCGCCTGCCAGGGACAGTGAGCACCGGCACCCGCAGCCCTGGAGCTCTCTGTCCCCGGCAGGTGTGGGGCCGCGGCTTCTATCTGGCTTCAAGAGGAGCCGTGGCCCCGCACCTGCCGGGGACAGAGAGCTCCAGGCTCCTCCCCACCCATGGTTCCACCCCTTTCTGCTCCTTCCCTGGGGTGCCACTCAGGGTCCCCGCATTCTACCCCCCTCCCCACAGCTCCTCAACCCGTTTGCTACCTTATGTCCTCCCACCCCCCACTGTGGCCCCCCAAGACCGGAGATGCCCGGTCCCCCCATCACAGCCTGAGGCTGCAGTGGGGAGTGAGTGCCCCCCCAACCTGAGGCTGCCTTCCGGGGCCGCAGTGTGGGGAGGATCCCAGTGCTTGGGCTTCCCCTACCACCCCCTGCACTTCTGCTGGGGATGGGTTGGAGCGCTGGGGGCTTCCCCTGCCCCCTCCCCACCTTCTGCTGGGGACACTGTCAGGGAGGCGCGGGTGGCCCCCAGTTGACCACTGCCCCGGGCGCTTTGGCAGCGCTCTGGCCACTTTTTTCCTTTTTTCTCTTTTTTGCGCTTCAGCGGTGCTCTGCGCCCCCCCCCCCCGTTTTTTTTTTGCTTGGGGCAGCCGGAGCCACCTTATGGCCGCGTTACATCCGAATTCGCGTTATTGCGGGGCACGTTATACCGGGGTTTCCCTATATTATGTTTAAACAATCATCTAATGGCACACACAGATTGCTGTAAGTAAAACCAAAACATTAAAACGCGTTAGCTGTAAGACAAAAATGTAATTCCACTGGGGGCTCACATTACCTAAACAAACATGGAAGTAGAAGAATTTTTAATTTTTTCTTCCCCCAAAAAAAGTCATTACTGTCAGTCTGCTTTTATAATAGTGACTATTGGAGGTAGACTGTTTATTAAAAACATCAGCAGCCTATACAGCCCAGTTCCAGAGGTTTCTTTCTACTACAATGAACCGCACTTCAGACTACTTTGCTACAGCAAAATCTGCCTTCAGCAATCCAGCATCCCAATGTGAACAATTTTTTTTAATTTGATTCAAATTAGTTCCATCTACCCAATCTAAAGATCTGCATAGCTCAGTCATTGAGATCAGTGGGAGATGGATTTGTAATCTGCTTTAAAGTTGGACATAGCTGAAGAACACCAGGAAGACAGAATGTATTCTAAATATCGAGCTTGGTTGAGAACAAAATTCCTGAAATTGTGTATTTTTTTTTTAAATACAAACCACACATGCATGTGGATCCCATCTGGTTTATCTTAAAATGCATGCTTTGCCTTTAAGAGACCCTTTGGAGCTCAATGTCAATGCTATACTTTAAAAAATAATGTAATAGTTCAGTTTAACTCATGAAACAGAAAATTGACTAATTATAGCATTGTTCTTATCCACAAACCCAGTTAGTTAGCAAAATCAGCACAGACCCAGTCTGACCCAGGGAATGACTCTAGAGGGGGGTGGGAAAGGACATACAGGAAGGGGCACCAGAACCCTTCAAGAAGGGGAATTAAAAAAAAATTACATTATTTCTTTATCCTAAAAACACCACAGAAAGCAGACAAATTGAGAAAGTGAAATCCTCCTTGTGCACAGACAATTTTCTTTTGTCTTTAGATAGTAATTGTCTGGAATAATGTGGCAAACATAAAAATGGTTTTATACAGAAATAAAACACAGTTCCCTTCAAGAAAGCACATTCCATCTGCCACACCAGGATTGTAAACAGAAGCGAGTCTGGCTGGCGCACGTCTAGATTTCATTTTTGTAACAAACACCCAGCTCAGGTGGTTCCTCCTCCCCAGGTAAAACGTTAACAAGGGTGGGGGGGTGGAGAGAAGAGAAAACCAGACAACCTAAACCGAAAAAAAAAAACCCTGCAAATCGCCTTCGCAGTTCAACCAAAGGTCACCAGTAGCATTTCCCCCAACAGCTGACCAGTCAAATGGGCAGGAAACAACTGCAGCACCCAATAAAACCCAGTGTGTGTGTGTGTGGTGTGT